ACACACGCACGCACGCACGCACGCACGCCACACACACGCACAACACACCTGCTCACAAGAGCTAAACAAACACATGTGATTTGCACCGCACGCACACTACGGTGCATTGCATTCATTATTTCACCCGCCACTGCATCTGCCAGCGAACGTCAGACGCATTAGGCAACCTACCACGCCATAATGCATGCCACGCACGCCACGCCACGCCACGCATGTTACGCACGCACGCACGCACGCACGCACGCACGCACGCACGCAAGCAAAAATCTTATATTGACTTATTTCTGCCCACCACCACGCGACCACCACCACCAGAAGCAGTCACCACCACCAGCTCACCACCACCACCAAAAACACCACACCACCACCGCGTCACGCCACGCCACCGCCACACCACCACCAACCACCACCCAACCATCACCACACCAGCAGCCAGCAGCAGCAGCAGCACCACCACACCACAACCACCACCAGCACCAGCACCACCACCAGCAGCAGCAGCAAGCAGCAGCCCAGCACCCCAGCCAGCAGCCCACCACCACACCACCACCAGCAGCAGCAACAGCAACAAACAACAACAATCAGCATCAGCAGTAGCTGATGGGGAAAACCTCATCGTAGAAACTGTGATTGATTGCTGCGGCCAAACGCGTAACTTTAGCGACGAATGACACGCACCAGCAAAGCGTAATAAATTAGGGTGGATATATGTTTTCCATGCCATCGATGCTTCGCGTGACGTCAGGTACTGTCACGCACGAACTGCCGCCGAACCTAACCCGTAAGCCCTAACCCTAACGCTACCAACCTAACCCTAACCCTAACCCTAACACTAATACTAACACTAACACTACACAAAATAGTTGAAATGGATAAAAGATAGAAAAATAGAAAAATAAAAATATAAACAGATGGGATTCGAACCCACACCTCAAGAAGAAACGTCCGGCGCTCCATGACGGCTGCGCTATTTTGCGTGACTGACGTCACCCTGCACTGCTGCGGACTGACTCACGCGAATATTCGATGGCATTCGGAAACATATAGTCCACCATAAATTAGGCGCTAGCAGCGCGCTACGGTGGCGCCATCATTTATGAATGTACGGTGGGCGGTGTGTTTACATCCGGGTGCCACGGCGGGCCCAGTAGGCTGTTTCCCGTGGGGGTGTTAACCTATCGTTAGCGATTAAGGCGCGCTAGAGCGCCTAGATATAATGCACATAACTTAAACTCTACCCCTAACGGTGATTAATGACGAAGACATCGATTGACTATTAATGTTAGCCAGGCAACATAAGGAGACTTCGCATGAATGATGATGGCATGATTGCATTGATGATGCTCTGATGATGCGTAGATGATGACTTGATGCATGATTGATGATAATATATGCATGCGGCATGACCCGAAGAGAAAAAACAGGAAGAGGAAGACAAACAAGAAGAAGGACGAAAAACGGAGAAGAACGAAAAAGACGAAGAAGAAGAAAAATAAGAAAGAAAAAACACGACGACGAAGAAGGAGAAAGACGGACAAAGAAAATAGCAAGAAAAAATAAGAAGACAGCAACAATAAACGCGCTACAAATTAGCCGTACGCTGCTAACTGCACATCATTAATAAATGCGAAAAGCATTCGCAGGCTACACTAGCGCCGTCTGGTGGTGTGCGCGCTGCCACGATGACTCGGCCACAATTACTTAAGTGATTGCAGCAACCCAACTAACTAACAAGTAGTAGGTAGATGGGTGGCGATGGGAGACAGGTAAGTAAAGCTGTAATGCAGCAGCAGCAGCAGCGGCCAGCAGCAGCAGTAGCAGCCCAGCAGTAGCGCAGCAGTTAGAGCGCCAGCCAGTAGCAGCAGCAAAGCAGCAGCAGCAGCGCCAGCAGCCAGTAGCCGGCAGCAGGTTAGCAGACAGCACAGCCAGCAGCCAGTAGCGGCCCAGCAGTAGCAGCAGCCAGCAGCCCAGCAGCAGCAGCAAGCCGCAGCAGCTAGCCAGCAGCGAGCAGCAGCATGGCCAAGCAGCCCAGCAGCCAGCAGCAAGCAGCAGCCACAGCTAGCAGCAGCCCAGCAGCCAGCTCAGGCCAGCCGGTGACCTCCACACCTTTCCGGGCAGCGCCACGCCATGCAAAAACCAATCTTTAATCAATGGCTTTAATCCATCAGTGAGAAAGAAAGAGAGAGAGAGAGAGTCTTCATCCGTGCATCAACGCTTTTAACATGATGCTGACTGCCTGCCCCTCCTGGCCCGCCGCCGCCGCGACCGCTACTGCTGCTGCTGCCTGTTGCTACTACTACTGCTACTACTATAACTACTACTGCCCGCTGCTGCTTAGCTGCTGCTGCCTGCCCTGCTGCTACACTACTGCTGCCTTGCTGCTGCTGCTGCTTACTGCCCTACTGCCTGCTACTGCCCTACTACTGCTGCGCCACACATATCTTATGCCAAGCTATTTATCTAATGAAGCTGACACCCCCTTTGGGTTGGAAATCGCTCCGCGGTCTACTGGCGTTTTTCGGCAGATTACTTGTCATTAACTAGACAGAGGGCACCTCACGGAAGAGTGCATCCTCGCGCAGCCGTGTAACATCGCTATGTGCTATAACAGCTGCTCGCTGCATGGGCTGCCCTGCTGACTGCGACGCCCTAGCGCGAAGCTGCTGCTGACTGCGACGCCTAGGCGCAGCCTGCTGCCCTGAATCCGGATGCGCGCCAACGCTACACCAACACCGAAACACACACACGAGACCGATTACATGAACTCGTTGCCGCGAGGTAATTAACTCATTATTAAGAGGCAGCCAGCCAGCAGCCAGCTAGATATTGCTTTCGATATGCATTTAATTCGCTCGTGTGTGTGTGTGTGTGTGTGTGTGTGTGTGTGTGTGTGTGTGTGTGTGTGCGTGCGTGTCCGCGTGTGTGCGTGGGCACTGTGTGGGTGTGCACGTGTGTGCGCGCGCGTGTTTGTGGGTGTGTGTGTGTGTGTGTTTGTGTTCGAGTGTGTGTGTGTGTTTGTGTACGAGTGTGTTGGTGTGTGGGAGTGTGCGTGTGCGTGTGTGCGTGTGTGCGCGCGTGCGTGTGTGGGTGTGTGTGCGTGGGTGTTTACCTTGTGCTTTCTGAGTCAGGAAACCCACAAAGGTACAGCCACCTCAGCGCTTTCGTGTGATTAGGTGCAATATGATAAACCCAGGGTGATACTCCATTAGGAGTGTTCCCAATATATAACCACACCCTAATATATGACCATGGTGGTGGTGGTGGTGGTGACCAGTTTGTGGTTTAATGTCATTTAGGTTAGAATTAGGGTTAGGGTTAGGGTTAGGATTATCAATCATTAATCATTAATCATTAATCATTAATCATTAATCATTAATGATATCTAAGTTGGGAACACTCCTAATGGAGCGTTAGCCTAAACCCAAGCCACATTGATCCCAGTACTGGTGCTTGCTACTATTTCCCGTGTTACATGCACCAGGCACTTAAGGCAGTCATACACTGGCGTATTATTTTGGGGGTAATATCAATTCAAGAAGGTGATCAGATACCATGTAGATGGAGATGGCCATGGGTACCCGATCTCATATGAATGTAAATATCTTAAACTACATCTGTGCGAATTTTCATGCTTTTGTCAAAAAGTGCACAATTATTAGCTCCTGTACTAATAAGCATAGGTCGTCTATTTGCATACATGCACTGATATTGCTCTTCGCTATACGCTACTCGTACTACTATGTTAGCTGTTAGTATGGCTGAGAGGGTCTATGTCCCCCAGGGTACTGCCGGAACGTACCCTGGTACTATCTAATATGCCGGACCGTACCGCGCCTACTCCACTAACGAGTCTAGGGAGTCGCCTACGCCTACTCCCTAACCCGAACCCTAACAGATAGTTACCAGGGTACGTTCCGGCAGTACCCTGGGGGACATAGACCCTATGAGCGCTTGTATGCGGTGTGTGGTTCCACTGGTTCACCTTCCGAAGGTCTCGGCGACAAATTCTCCCGCTCTGTTAACAATGTATGATTGACTAGCCGGTCTAGTCTAGACACATCGACATATCTGTTTCCAATACACATCATACGATGAGAGAGAGAGCGCGAGCTAGTATGTTAGTATATCTATCTATTCATCCAAGCGAAATCTTCGTCCCTCGCATCGTCCATTATTTAAGTCTACTTGTCAAAAAAGAGGCAATTAAAAACGATTGCGTCTGCGACCGTACTGACGAGGCGGGGCGGGTGGCAGACGTACGTGCGCTGTGTGAATTCTTCATGATTCTCTTCAAAACCTTGAGATCGTGCGTTCGTATTGTAACGTTGAGTGACAAGCGGACAGCGATGTTTCGCCGTATTTTTTTGTGCCTGTGATGGTGGTGGCGGTGGTGTTGTGGCTGGTTGCGTAGTTGGGGGCGTTGGTGGCGTAGGGAGAGAGACTGACAGACTGACAGACATAAAAAGAGCGATGAGCGTTATCAGAGCAATCCATTTATCAAGACTTTTCTATGTAGGACAAAAAGGAATACATACGCAACGTGAGTTTCGTGGAAAGGGTACAACAGCAAATCATGTTGGGCAACATTTATTGGCACCAAGGCAAAGTAGGGAGGGCAACCACGGCTGTTGGCAAAATCTGAACCCTGGGGGAGCAATATATGAAGGGGTGCCTGTAATACTGGAAGCAGAAAACCTTATTCTATTACAGCAACACGTCCATAGTAAACAACTCCCTATAGTATATATATTTTATAATATATTATTGATACATAGCTCTCTCTATATTCCATTGCAAACAACGCACAGTAACGTAGCGTCTCATTCATAATTCATTAGATCGATTAATTCGTTGCCTAACACTTGCCTAACGTACGCCGCGGAAACTACTACATTTGAATAAATCGGAATACTCCATCCCGACCCCGGGCCATGGTTACATTGATTGATTTGTCGCACATGCGGACACCTACCCTCATGAAGTCAGCGACAGCTTCCCTGTCTAGCGTGCCCTGAGCGAGTGTCGCCTTCGCAGCCTCATCCCGCTCTTTCTCTGTCTCTGTACGATAAAAAAAATACAAATTTAAATTTAAATTTAAA